GGAAAAGGAGCATGAGAAACTGGAGAAATACCAGGGCCTCAGAGAGGAACTGGAGAAGGCCTGGAAGATGAAGACCACAGTGGTGCCTGTGGTCATCGGGGCCCTCGGGGCAGTCACCCCCAAACTGGAGCAGTGGCTCAAACAGATCCCAGGAACAACATCAGACATCTCAGTCCAGAAATGTGCAGTTCTAGGCACAGCCAAGATACTGCGCAGAACCCTCAAGCTCCCAGGCCTCTGGTAGAGGACCCGAGCTCAGAGGATGAAAGAGACCACCCATGGAGGGTGAGAGGGGAATTATTTTTTTTTTATATATATATATATATATTATGCATTTGCTTATTTAGAAACAAATTTTAATTTGTTTTGTTGTTTTATTGTTTCTGTTAATCTTGCTAATATGTTATTAAAGTATTTTGAAGACAGATACATTTTTGTTCTAATCCTAAGGTTTCAACAATAGAATTCAAACAACAACAAAAAAACATGAAAACTTTGGACAAAAACCCCTAAATATCAGACGTTTGATATATCAAGCTTAATTAATAAAAAAAGTATTGATAAAAGTATTGGTATCGTACTGCCCCTCAATTTATCTGACATTGGGCCCCTACTAAAACATGCACTATTGCACATCTTTAGCACTGTGAAATATATCAGCAATTTAAACTAAAGAGAAACATAAATGAATGAACTTCTGGAAAAAAAATATTATTCAGACACTGATTGAAGTAAATGTTTTGGTTTGAAAACATTAACCAAAAATGTATCATATTCAGGTTTTCCCTTCCAGTATTTTAAGCCTAGTGGCCCATCAGGCTTTACTTATTTTTTAAAGTCTTTTTCAAAAAGGTTTGATTTTTTTAAAGACTTTTGTAGTTGGTGTCCAGGTATTAATCATCCAATCGTTTAATAGCACATAATTATCAAGTGATATTTTAAAATTTCTTGTCAACATTTTTTTAACTCAAAACCACGACGGGCCACTGAATGAATGACTGCCTTAGCACCCAACCACCGCGCTCAGCAAGTTTTCTGGGGGAAAATTTGGTATTTGTGAAATATAGTGGAAGTAATATCTGGGTCAGTCTGCACGTGCGTTTAACATTAGTCATCCCACTATTGCCAACTTAGCAACATTATTGCTATATTTAGTGACTTTTCGGAAATACACATCGGCATTATACAATAATTACATTCGTAGAAGCAAATGTGACTGAACGTTCACTGATGATTTAAATATTGTTTAGTAAAAAAAAAGCAGTAGAAGTAACTTTTGTATTTTGCATCCTATCTATGTTACAGTTGACGTTAACATGTCGTTTCCGGTTATAGACAGCCGTGTAGGCCAACGTACCAGCCGGAGTTCTTCATGGCATTGAGCAGGAGTTTGGCATATGGACCTGCCAGGGACACACAGAAGAGTTAGCACACAGAGGAGTTAGCTTTAGCTGAAGCCACCTACCATTCACAACCAATCAGTTAGCTCCGTGAGCTAATGCTACATGCTGCACACCGTCACGGCTCATGCATTCAAATAACAAGCACATCATTTGTTCAAATTAAGACGTCCGCAGCTCGGAAGGCTTTCCCTCTAAAATGCTACATAAGCAAGCGTCGATACTCACTAATTTCCATGGCGAACGTTAACATGACCTGACACTTGTTTCTGGATGTGAACAGGTTGTCTCTGATTGTGATGTGCTTGGGTTTCCTCGCTTTTCTCTCCGGGAAGAGGTCATATCCATATTCCTCATCTTGCTTGTTCTGATCCATTGTGTTGGGTACGTCCAGTGTGGAAATGTCAGCATAAAGTTCTCTGGGCTTTCCACCGCTAGCTAACAGGAGAGGTCATTGCTGGGTTTCTACATCACGTGGTTCCGTGGTCAAAGTTGACCGATGAAATTTTCAGACAAAACAATTGTTTAAAATATCAGGTATGTGAAATCTTTAAAGAACATTTTCCTGTCATTTTTATAATATGAAGTATTTATTTTCTTTTTTAGTTTTATATGAGGGGGTGCGCATCATTTATCACCCGGCGAGACACCGGTGCGCCGGGTGGGCGTCATTTGCACACTATTTTGGTTTCCAAATAAGAGTTGCTTTATTGTCAAATTAAAATTATCTCAGATATTGAATTATTACAGTGAATCTGGAAAGAATGACGACTTTGCATTAGTACTTTTTACACTGTAGCGCTTTTTATTTCAAGATGAAATAAATTTAATATTGTGTTCTATTTGTACTTAAAAATAACATGATTTTCTGATTACAAATTTAGAATTACAACAACAAACACAGCAAAAATTCTATTAAGTTTTCACGTATTAATGTTGTCATAAAATCTCATTACTCTAACTCTGATAAGTCTAACTTTCTTCAACTGGGGAAAACCCGTTTCGCTAAATTTAATTCCACCTTCATCGCCTCTTCGTCACTTTTAGCCGCGTCTTGCACCGGCTGACTGTTAAGGGCTTCCCCAAGTGTCGTCTCCTTTCAGAAAAGTGTGAACTGTAGTGCTAACTGACGAAAATTTGTGAGCCAAACAGATAAACTCATCTTAATTCCACACACATAGCTCAGTTATCAGTTTCATAGAAGCATTTTCGTAAAAGTTCCGTATTTAAAATATTAAAATAAAATAAAATAAATTGTTTTTGCTTTACGGAGATTGTTTTGTTATAGACGATCTTTGGTTACGTCGTGGATACGTAGAGCAAAGGCTGCTGGTCCTCCGCTGTCATGGCTCCGAACATAAACAGAATGTCGTGACTAACGACATTTTTCGGAGTCTTTTGTTACTTTAGCGGTCACTACGAATTAACTGTGAATCCAGGAAAGAAGCGGCAGGTATTTCAGAACGCCATAATTAAAGCACATTCATATCCGGCCTCTTTTAATCCAATGATGGTTCCGTTTTGCTAAGCTGTTAGCTGCTGGAGTATCACAAAACGTGATTCTCGTGTTTTACCTCGATGCTGCTGCTGCTGCTGTTGCTTGGATGTGAAGACTAAAGCACAGAGAAGTGAAGTGAAAGAGTTTTCCAAAAATAAATGTCTGTTTGGCAGAGGGAAGCATGTCCGGGGAGGACAAGGCCGTGGAGTTACAGCTGCAGATACGGCAGAATGCGGAGGATCTTCACAGTTTCATGAGGGAGCTGGACAACTGGGAGGCAGACATCAAGAGGAAGGATCAGGAGCTGAGGACTGGACGAGTCCAGGAGCTCCAGGTAGGACGTCCCCTATTGTTAACAGCTTCTTTACACTGATACCCTTAAATAAAATCCAAGCTAATCATTTAACTGGCAAAAATTACAATCATAACTTTGAATATAATCAGGACTTAGAAAGTCAAAATTATGATTTTGTCTTAAAATTAAGACGTTTAATCTCATAATTGTGATATTGAAACTCACAATTATGACTTTAAATATCATTATTAGGACTTTATGACTTTGACTCTTATTATTAAGACTTTAAAACTTGTAATTACAACTTCCTGTTGGACTTTACAGTTTCTTCCTTGGCTCTAATGGCATTCTATATGTCTGTGTGTCTTGTTGCAGAAAACCCTTCCACCTGTGCGTAACAAGGGATACAGGTCAAAGATGAGGGAGAAGAGGAGGAAACAGGCGCCTGCTGCTGACGGCGACACGAACGCAGAGGAGCCCAGACCAGCTTCCAGACTCAAATCCTGTGATTATCGATCGTGGGACAAGTTCGACGTGGTAACCCAACGTCTCACCTTGGCTTTCCACAACCTGACTTTTCATGCAACAAACGGTGATTACACATTCTTCCTCTTGTTGGCAGGATAAAGCTCTGGCAGAAATGGACAAGGAGGCCGAGTCCAACGAGTCCGACCAGGAGGAGGTGGACAAGGACAGAGCTCTGGCTGAGAAGGAGAACGTAATGAAGTTTCTATGTGTGACACGCAGACAGAAAGAGAGAGGGCAGGGGTTAAAAGATGTCAACTGCTTTTGTTGTTTTGTTTTTTTCTTGTTTCCAGGGTAACAAGTTGTTTAAAGAGGGGAAGTATGACGAGGCCATAGAGTGTTACACTAGAGGGATGGCTGCTGATCCATACAACCCTGTGCTTCCCACCAACAGAGCCACGTCCTTCTTCAGACTTAAGAAGTAAGTCTGACTTCACTGTAAACAAATGGGTTTCATTCGAGGGATCAGTAATCGATTGATTATCATTTATCTACTTCACAACTGTACAAAGTAGATATGTACAGATGCAAAGTAGATAAATGGTAACCCTGGTTACGTAAAATTGACTGTTGAGCTTTACATCATGTTACAGAGCTTCAGGAAGAGCAGGAGTTTTTAAAGAGACAGAGGATCAATATCAAGGCGTTAAATTACAAAGTCAAATTTCTTTTAAGACATTTGATACATATGACATTTTTATAACAACTGAAATTAGAATAGTTACTTAATTGTGTTATAAAATGGATCTACGTGCCTGGAAAATACATAATATTGCCCCTTAAAAACAAACCAAAAAAAACTGAAAAGTGTGGTGCACATTTGTTTTCAGCTCCTTTAACTGACCCAGATCTCATTATAAATGCAGCTGTTCTGTAGCTTCATGAAGACCAAAGTACACATGAGAGAGATTTTATGAACATATGCTCATTATAACACATTGACGTTTGTGGTAAAATGTGAAAAAGTTTAAGATGAATAAATATTTTTGATAAGTTGAAGATGCTTTTCAGTTTTCTCTGGTTGTTGTGATAAATCTTTGCCTCACCAGGTATGCCGTGGCCGAGTCGGACTGCAACCTGGCCGTCGCCCTTGACGACAGCTACTATAAGGCGTATGCTAGGAGAGGAGCCGCTCGGTTTGCCCTGCAAAAACACCAGTTGGCTCTGGAAGGTCTGAATCAGATTAAACCTGGTTTTATCTGAACAGGTTTAAACCTGGTTTTATCTGAACGGGTTAAAAACTGTTTTGTTTGAGCCGTCCTGATCTGAGGCTGTTGATTGTGTCTGGACAGATTACCAGATGGTCCTCCAGCTGGACCCGGGAAACGCCGAAGCCCAGAGTGAAGTGAAGAAACTCCAGGAGGTGAGGGTTGGGTGGGGTCAGTGGGGGTCAGGGTTCAGTTTGTCCTGCTGCTGTCTAACCCACGTTCTGGTCAGTTCAGATCCTTGCTCAGGTGGACGTCCGGGGTCCGGCCGTCCAGCCCGCCGAAGCCACCGCCGCCGACCAGCAGCGACAGCTGGAAGAGCAGCAGAGGAAACAGGAAGCTGTGATGCAGAAGGACAGAGTGAGTCCTGGTTTATCTCCTCTCTTCTGTGTCAGTTTGTTCTGAAACCCAATGGTGACATTTGCTCCTCAGGGAAACGCTTACTTCAAAGAAGGGAAGTATGAGGCAGCCATAGAATGCTACAGCAGAGGAATGGAGGCAGACGGCATGAACGTCCTCCTGCCTGCCAACAGAGCCATGGCCTTCCTCAAGTTGGACAGGTAGAAACATCCAACAGTTTCACTCCATCCAACAAATGATAGCAGGAGATTGTTAGCAAACTCTCTCCATCTGTCCTCCATCTGTCTTCCTGCAGGTATAAAGAAGCAGAGGAGGACTGTACAGCAGCCATTTCTCTGGATGACACTTACTCCAAGGCCTTCGCCCGCCGCGGCACAGCCAGACTGGCCCTGGGGAAACTGCAGGAGGCCAAGGAAGGTGCTGCAGAGCTCCCACAGCAACCAGCAGCAACATGCTGGGTTTATTGTTTTCAATAATGTTTTGTTTTTTTCCTTTTCGTTCACATTTAAACAGGCAGGCCACTCCTGGGAAGGTCCACCACTTTTTAGTGGTGCTGTTTGTGAAGCTGCACGCTCCAAAATAAACAGCAATATTTTTGGTTTTCTTGGGGGGGGGGAAAAAAAAGAAAGGCAAAATTTTCAAAGTCATATTTTCATAATTTTTTTCATTTGTTTATAAGTGTCACAGTTTGTAAATTCAATACTTAACTGGCAACATAATTAAGATTGCTAATTAATTATGTAGTTAAACTGAATAATTGGTTAGCAAGCTAGATGAGCAAAATATTTAGTTAGGATGCTAAATATATAGCTTCAAACTAAATATTTGCATATTAGCTAAATATTTAGCTTAGAGCTAAATATTAAGCCTCAAACTAAGTATTTAGCTAACAAGCAAATATTTAGCTTCGAGTTAAACATTTATCTTGCTGATTAAATCATTTAGTTTGAACCGTCACATGTAGAAATGAGCGAATGATGTGGTGAAAATTTGAGTTTGAAAAATGAATCTCCATTTTTTCTTTCTTGCTTTTAGACTTGCTAAAAACTCAAATTATTGCTGTTCATTTTTGACAGTGTAACTTTACACTCCACACTCCCCCTGCTCCATGTTTCCTCCAGTTTTGGATAATGGCTCCCAGTGGTTCATTGGAACATTTTGTTTGCAAATGGTTCCTCCGGACTGATAGATGACCGGAGGAACCAATGACAGGGGTTTTGAATTTTAGATCGAGGCTTGGTGTTCATCTTTTCTGAAGTCTTTTAGCCTACTTCATGGTGCCAGATGGGTTCTAATGGCAGTAATGAGTTGTGTTAATCACTTCAGAGACTCCACATGTTTGAGTAATTGTCTTGACTTTCCGTGTGTGTGTCAGATTTCCAGCGGTTGCTCCAGCTGGAGCCCGGGAACAAGCAGGCCCTGAATGAGCTGCAGAAGCTGCAGACGGTACGCTAACAACTGCTGGGTTTTCCATCTGAGCTGCTGAACTCTGACCCCTGAACTCTGGAGTCTTTCTCCTCCAGGATCCAGACTGCAGCGGCGCTCTGCAGGCGGAGGATGGCGCCCAGAGGAGGACGGTCCAACCCGTGGACAAACCAGAACATCTGCGCTCAACCGTCGGTTCCACAGCGATTTTAGCTGCGTCTGAGTAAAGGTGTTTGTAAAACCCACTGAGTTAGCTTCTCCTCTGGCCTGCAGAAACCTCTGAGACGAATCGACATCCAGGAGATCAGCGGGAAGCTAGCGCTGCCCAGGCAGGAAGCTCTTCCTCCGTTAATCCAGGAAGTAGACAGGAAGACTGACTCGCCGCTGTCTTCATCGCCCAGCGCCAAGATCATCAAAATGGAGGAAGCAGCAGAAACACAGACACAGAGACATGACAGGTGACTTTTACATGCCAGGAGGGGAGGAAACCATGGTTACCACTGGGACTGGACCAAAAAACAATATTATCCATTAACTCAACGTTTGGTTTTTAACTCAAGATTTAATTTTTGAAAAATCCTGATTTTTATTTTAAACCAATGCAGTGCTTGGCTTTCCATGGGTGAGAGTGATGTCAGCAGGGCCGCCATCTTGTTTGGAAGTTACAGCTTCTGTTGAATTCAAGGCAAATCTATGATGGAATGTTAGGATTATGAGAATAAAGTCATAATATTACAATAATACAGTTGTAGTGATATGAGACTAAGCTGTATGACAATAGTTGAAATAATGCAAGAACAAAGCATCAATATTACCAGAATATAGTCAGAATACTAGAGAAATGAAGTAATAATGTTATAAGAACTCCTTCACTAAAAAATTAAAATGAGAAATGTTGAGCATCTTGTTAATCTGAAAAGTGTAGCTTGCATTTGCAATCCTCTAACTGATTTACTGACTTTATCCGTTTTCCCATCAGCCCTGGCACAATTTCCCTGTGTTTGCAACAGAAAAGCATTCCCATACCATGCTGCTGCCACCGCCGCCCTGCCCCCTGCAGGCCCGTTCCTCCTGCCATTTTTACATCCAGGTTTGTGGTGGCGTTCCTAACTGTTCTCCTGTGCTCTCCAGAGTTTCTGCCAGCAGAGACGCCAGCCAATCAGTTCAGGAGGAATCCACAGAAGCAGCTGAAGCACCAAGTTCAGACGTTCCTCCTGCTCCCAGCAGCAGCTTCCAGCTGGAGGCGGACCTCCGGAAGCTCAGCAAGCAGCCGGAGGCGGTTTACAGATACCTCAGGGTGAGCTGCATTCTCCTTTCGCTTCAGCACCGACAGCTCCATACTTTATTTCATTTTTAAGCCAAACATTTATTTCCTGAAGGCTTTTGGATGTAGAATAAAAAAAATAAAATAAAAAAAAAATCAGACCAAATCCAAAAGTTATGTGAACGTTTGGATTTGCCTTCCATTGTGCATTAAGTTCAGATTAATTCAAACAACCCTTGTGTTTTCTTTAATCCTGTGCGAATGTCATTTGAAGCGACAGAGCTGTACATGGACTTAATCAATCTTGTAGTTTAACACCTGGCCTCCAGGGGGCACTGTTTAGTAAAAGCTGGAAGACCGTTAACTGCAGAGTGATGTTGTCCGTTTCCATTATATTCACACAGAAACACGATCCAAATCCATTTTTCATTTTTATTTTTTGCCTGAATGTGATTCATGTTTGACTTTTTCATGTCTGTCTGAACGGCCCAATTCCAATCATAGAAAAAAATTAAATCCCATTTGAACCACTTCCACATGTGGTATTAAATCAGATACATATATAATGCTTTTTTTCATACCAAATCCAATTTATTCATTTTTTCTGGCTTTTTTTTCCTTGAAAAAAAGTTTACAAATATTTAAAAAAACTTGCTGATTATGTTTGCACTCATTCCTTTTTTGGGGAGTTTACCTGAATTAAAATTGCTAAATAAACACAAACCAGATCAGAACATCACTCTGATCTATGGAAGCCCAAGGAGTCCATTTGTGAAAAAATAAAAACCTTCATGAACAGAAAGCTCGATGAATGGATAGAAGTCATTTCTGGCCCTTCCATGTTTGGATGCTAAACATTCTTGTCCCTGTTGGCAGCAAATCAGTCCCTCAGCGTACAGCCAGATCTTCCAGAACTCTCTGGAGCCGGACCTGCTCAACCAGATCCTCAGAACCCTGCGCGATTTCTTCATAGGGTAAGCTGTCTAGACGTAAACATCAGAGCCGAGCTGCTTTTGTCCGTTCACTCTGCAAAACAGTTAAGACTGGCCTGTTTGGAGCAGGAATGAACCTCCAACCTCCATCTTGGAGACCCTCGGCTGTCTGGCGGGTGTGAGGCGCTTCGACATGGCCGTCATGTTCATGACGCCGCAGGACAAGAAAGGTGGGCTCCTTTTCATCCTCTGCCTTCTCGTTCATGTGAGATCATTGTTAAAAATGTGTCGTTTCCTCCCTCCTCTCAGTGCTGAAGGAGCTGTTTGACTTCCTGCTCCAAGCCCAGCTGGACCAGCCCACCGTTTCAGACCTGCAGAAGAAGTACGGAGTATGATGGACGGACAAACGTGTTCCCAGCTTCCAGCGTCTGCAATGCTTTTTCTTCAACCTGCCAAATATAACCTGACATTTGCTGAACTGATCACTTAACCAAATAAAACAGGTGTGTGTTTCTGAAACGTGTGTTCTTGTTTCACTGGATTTATTTTTCCAAGATGGAGCAAAGGAGGAGAATTAATCTAGTCAACTGCCAAAAACACCAGATTTCTGCAATTCAACACTGAATGATTACATCATTAATAAACAGTGTAATTAATAACACGGATTATTAATAACACAGATTAATAATCAGTGTTAGTTCTGATGTTAGTGTAGTGTTACCACTACACTAACATCAGATGGCTGATTTGATGTTAGCCTAGTGCTGTAGTATCACGATGCAGCCAGCAGGTAGAGCCAAAACGTAAGTATGGAATGCCATTTTGGATATAATTTCCAAACGGCTTTCCAGTTCAGTCTGGCGCTTAATGGACCCCAGCATGTTTCATAACTCATATGGAGGAATTACATAGAGAGATGAGCCACAAATCAGAAAGTATTGATTTACGAAACATGTTTTAGGATAAGTTTTTTTTTTAAATATATCAAAACATTTAAATAATCCTTCATGTTAAATCAGTTTATTAAATACACCTAAAATCAAATGTGTAATTTGCTTCCTAAAACGTCAACTAATTATGTGTTAAGATCATACATCTATGTAACCTAAACTGCCACTGTTGCAAAAGACAATTTTCAAATAGACAATGAGCTGCAGAGCAGAATTATGGTTACATAGCAATCACAATTATATAATTCTGATTATTTTCTACTGCTATAGTAGAAAAGTTAAGATTTACGAGTAGGGATTACACCAATATAAAAAATTGGCAGAAATCTTTCCTTAGCTTGTTTTTTGTCAACTGTTAAGTCCTAAAGTAAAAAAAAAAAAAAAAAGAAAATGTCAATTTCCTGTAAAAAAAAGCACCTACAGTTTGCAAAAATAAATGGAGTAAATTATTTTGAATATCTGAACTATTTATTGACAGTAAAAGCATTGACAAACAATTTGGACAACTATTAATAAGATTAAAAGTAATATTTCTGCGTGTAGGTAAAAGTTCATGTCTGCTGGTGTGTGAGCTCTTAAAGAGATGTTTCCTTTGAGTCCCGCGGCGGCCGGAAGGTCAGGATCTCAGTGAAAGTATGACCTGTACAAAAAGAAACGGGGTTTAAGGTTTTAGGTTTTTCACGAGCCTCCTTTGCTACATACGGGCCCTGTAAAAGTCACTGCGTTTCCATTACAAATGTGAGCAAATCCTGCTAGCGCTCATCATCTATCAGCCAATAAGAGGAGACATTCAGGCTTTGGAGTGACAAGCCCCGCCTACTTGGTAGCGGCTACATGTTCGGTGTTTTGGGGAAACGACAGTGACCCCCTCCCGTCCCGCCTCACGTTTCCACTGCTCCAGCGGCAGGTCCGTGTTGTCCATGGTCTGGTCGTACGGCAGCGCCTCGCTCTCCTCCTCCACGTCCCTGAACTCGCTGAAGAACGGCAGCTCCAGGGCCTCCGACGCGCTGGCCCTGCTGTCAGGGTCCAGGAGGAGCATCTTTTCCAGGACACTCACCGCTGCGGCGCACAGACACGCGTCAAAGTCGGCAAAAAAAGAACTTTGGCAATGAAGCCAGAGAGAAATGCTCACGTACCATTTGAGCTGGCTTTGGAGAAAATGGAGTGCAAATCTTTCTTTGGCACTTTCGGTAAACTCCGGATGTAGTTTCTGGCCTGGTGAAGGACAGAAAAGGTCTCAGTGTGATTTTAACCTTTATATCGGCACCTTCATAAAATACAGATCTACGTCATGTTTTGCCAAAAATGATTTTTTGCTTAATCATCTTTTAGCAAAAAAAAAAAAAGACTTAAGATTACTAACTTAGAAAGGTGACGATATTCAACCTCCCTTTGTCTGGTACTGCTAAACAAATTACAGTGTAACCAACTTCCTTCAAGTCACGATGCTTCTGGTTTTCAAAATAAATCCATCTAATTTTGACATTAATCTCAAATTTTGGCCTTTTGAAACTCAGAAATTTCCATGTTTCTTCTAGAAAATTTCTGACATTAACCAAATATTTCTGAGGACTTTTTTGCTATAACAAACTTGAAACTTTTCAAACTCAGAAATTGCCAAGACATTCTAGAAAATGTCAATGATCAAGCTCAACATTTATTTGTTTATCCAGCAACTTTTTGACTGTTGGAGCTCAGACATTTCCTTGAGTTTTTTTTTGTCAGTGTGCACTGAGCTCCACCACTGGAGCCCAACAGTCAAACATTTGCTAGAACAAATTAAATACAAATTTGAGCTTCAGGTAAAAAAAATTTCAGTACTAGCCATGAATCAATACTCGATCAGTATTGGTCCACAGCCTGGTGGAAATCTGATCTACGAGACATGTCAAATTTGAAGTTGTAACGTGACAAATGATGTGAAAGTTTAAGAGCTCTGATTGGCTTTGCAAGCCACTGTGTGCCTGGTAAAGGTTTTATTCCAGTTTTATTGAACTGCTGTAATGTGAATCTAAATGGACAGAACATCTATTCAAACTGAAGACAGTTGAGTAATGACAACTTACATCTTGACTCTGTAGCTTGAGAACAAAGTCGGGAGTCGGAGTTCCTGTAATCTTCATGATTTCTCTTAACTGGTCCAGGTCTGATGAAGGAAAAGGTTAAGAATCGTTGCTCGAATGAATTTCTATCATCATTCATATCAAAATTTTAGTAGGCAAATAAAGAACCTCCCTGCAGGCAGGACCTCTCAATAAACACAAGACTCTGACCACAGGAAGTCCAGAACTACTTAAAGATGATTTGTTAATGTTTCCGCTTGTGGTATTGTAGCAGTATATGACCTGTGATTGGTTCTCAAACTGTAGAAATGTTGGTCAGTTCAAACAAGCTACCTGTAATGTAGAGCGAATAAACACCAAGTGTCAAAAATATGAACCTATGATCTGTATTTTCATACCAGTCTATGTTATGCTGTAGAGTTGTGTCAGGTAAAGATTTATATATACGTTAATGAAATTATTACTTTAGAATAATAATTACCGGAGTACAGATAAGATTTTAGAGTACATGCTGGCTTTTACATCTCATCCAGGCACTTGTATGGATTCAGTAAAAACAAACTTTTACTTTTGTAAATTTTAAGACCATTTTCAAACAAATAACTGAAATGACATCAGGTCAAATTAACCAACCGGACAAGGATACGGTCGTTTCCCTTGAACAAAGGTTTCCCCAGCAACATCTCTGCCATGATGCAACCCGCTGACCAAATATCCACTGCAACGCAGAGCAAAAGCATTGCTGCAAAATGATTCATTTACTCCATCAGGTTCCTTTTGTTTTTTATTATCATCATCACCAGTCTGCGTGTAGTGCATCCAGTTAAGGATAACCTCCGGCGCTCTGTACCAGCGCGTCACAACGTAGCCGGTCATCTCTGCATCGGCCTGCCGGGCCAACCCAAAGTCCAGGATCTACAGCAGAATGGAGGGAAGGTACTGCATTACATTTTTAAAAATAAAGATGAGAATAAAGCAAGACAAGGTGGCTTACCACTGAATTACCTTTAGCTCACAATCAGGGTTTATGGCCAAATTTCCAGGTTTGAGGTCCTGTTAGATAATATGTTTATTACAGATCAGTATACAGAATGTATTTACTCTTTAATTTGTACTCATTAAATGTCAAACATAGGAAGGTAATATCAACAAGGCATGCTGGGGTATTTAGAAATGCAGCACAGAATTTTAATACAGTGTTTTGTCTCAATAAAAGAACAGATAAACAGACTTGGTAAAGCTTATGGTTCAATAGGTCAAAGTTCACGCACCCTGTGGATGATCCCTGCAGAGTGGATATACTGCAGAGGAAAACGATACAGGAAAAACATAAGCTGTGCTCAGAAAAATACAATTTTCTTGTTTGTTTTTTCCCCTAGAAAACAGAGAATGTTTGGAGAATTTATTTCCACCTTAAGGCCTCTCAGCATCTGATAAACCAGGAACTGGACGCGATCCTCTGACAACCTCTCCATCTTCATCAGCTTGCCAAGGTCGGTGCCCATGAACGGCATCACCAGGTAGCTGAATGTAAGGAGGTCAGTGTTATGATTAGGACATAAAAAATAAATAAAAACTTCTGGAAGAAGTGAATAGAAAAGGACCTTACAAGTCTCGAAACCGATCCAAAGAGATCTCAGCTGTGAAAACATCCAACAGCCCGATCACCTGATAAAGACCAGGAAAATGATTTCAAATTTACTATGCTACGCTATTGAACATTATGCTAATGGAGCACCACACCATACCACAATAGTACTACACTACTAGTGATGGGTCAGGCTCAAAATAATCTAACAGCCAATGCTTTGGAGTCAGTCAAAAGAGCAGAGTCCCAAGGTTTTTTCCCTTGAGCTGCTCAGCTCTCACTCTCAGTGGCTCTGCCCCTCAGAACTTTATTTTGATTGTCAGCTTGTCTTCTACAAAAAAAAAAAAAAAAAAAAAAAAACCCGGGAAAAAAAAAAAAAGAGGGGGGGAAAAAAATTACCCCCCAAAAACGAAAAATTTTTTTTTTTTTTAAAACA